ATTGCATAAAATGATCTTGGTTATTATAGGACAGTGCATTTGTTCATATTCCTCAAATGACCAAAGTACACAACAAAGGGACCAGCAGGTGGCATAGTGGTTTAGGCACCGGACTTCCACATGGCCAATCACAGTTCGAGTCCCAGACTTGGTGGCTTGCTTTCTCACTTTCCTTCTTCCTCTCTAGTGAGCGAACATGCCTTATAGAAAACTTTAAAAAATAACAATATGAAATAAAATAAATTAATGTAGTTTTTTTTTTTTTAAAAAAAAGTACACAGCAAAAGAGAGGCGACAACTGGGATCTGGGGCTGAGACAGGAAGGGGAATGGAAAGAATATCAAAGGCTTAATATAGTTTAGGCATGGCACATATTTCACATGTAATTTTCAAAACTCACATGATAATTTTCATTTTAGAGTTGAGAAGACTGAGTCTCAGAAAGGTCATATAAAATACCTAAGAACCCACAGTGCATAAGCAATAGACCCAGAGGGTGCAGACAGCTCTGTCTAATGCCAATGCCCCCTCCCTGGGAGTGGAGGACCATCCACCACCGCTCCTCCCTCACAGGAAGGCCACAGTAGGAGACCCTCCCCATTTCAGGGACCTCTCTGGAGGCTCAGCACTTCTGCTAAGTCAGCTGCTGGAAGGGGCTGAGAGTTCCTGGCTCTTTTGAAATTTGAGTTGGTTTGTGTCTGTTGGATGAATTTTGACCTTTCCCATCCTTCACCTTGTATTTTCTTCTAGTCAGCTCTGGTGCTGATTTTTTTTAACAAGACAGATGGATATTCCAGTTCCATGAACTTAGTGTTTCTTGACCTTGGCGTATGGATATTAGGAGCAGGATACGTCTTTGTTGTGGAGAGACCTTTGGTATCTCTACCGTCTAGATAGTTGTAACCTCTTCCTCCTCCCCACCAGTTTTGAAAATGTCTGCAGACTTGCCAAATAGTGCAGAGGGGGCGGGGAAATCACCTCTAGCTGAAAACCAGGGCTGTAACTCAAGGAGGGCTGCAGGGTCGCTTTACCTTCCTACCTAAAGCTCCAGGAACCATGTAAACCAAAGAGGTGATTAAGTGACACCTGTGGGTGGAGTCTGGGGTTTTCTGATTTGGGGGAGGGAACGCAGCGCACAGATTGCTGGCCCCGGACTTCCTTGATGCCCCCACGAGACGTTAAAAATGTAGAGCTTTCAACGTGCAGATGGCTCGCGCTGCTTAATTACCAGCCGAGAGCATGCTAACATTTTCCTCCCTCTTCCATCCTGCAACAGCCCGCCAGGAGCAGTGGAGGCATTAACGACGGGGAGCAATTGCCCTTTCCCGCATTCTTATCACACACTAATTATTTTATTCTAAAGAGACAAAGTAGAGAGAATGTAACATATGATTCTGACGACAACACTTAAAAAAAAAAACTGTCTGCTTTTCCTAGAGAAAAGAGCATTGGAGCTGGTTGCTAAGCAACTGGGTAACTGCAGACTCTGGTACTGGCCAGTCTGGTTTCGGAAATGAGCCATAAAAGGAATTCCCCAGTGAGAAGGGATCCCATACCATTGCCTGGTTGCCATGGACACCATACATAAGTGATGGATTCTGGGTTACAGACCCTGCTTAAGAAAAAAATAGGTTGTCTCTGCTTAAGGCTCCAATGGTATAAGAAAGGTATGGAAGCCTTCTTCCTCCACCTTATCCATGTGGGCACGCCCTGGCCCCTTCTCCAGTGCTCCCCCCGAAAGAGGTCTGAATCTAAGTGGCTGAGACATTGCATCCAATTTCAACTCTGCTTTTATTTAATATGTTCCAGTCTTTGCTGGAGTTGGAAGAGAGACTGCAATCTGGAAAGCGAATTTTTAAGCAAGAAAAGATGCCTCCGGTGGCAAGCCAGCTGTCTGTCTGTCTGACATCCACCCCTGCTTGGGGGCCACACAGCGCTAAGATCAGGCACGAGGGCAACTCTCTATGTTCACACGTTCTATTGGAATTTTGCAAAACAAGAGAGATTAGCAGAGAAAAAAAGACAATAGCCGTGACTCCAAAATGAAATTGGCATGTCACGCAGAGCAAGGCAACAATAGGCCACTGCAATTCTGTCAGAAATTAGAAACAGACTTCAGATAATGGGAGTGAAAACTAAGAGGCAAATATGAAGACGTGGGGCTTAAAATACAAGGTGCAGGTCTCATGGGGCTTTCTGGGGAAGTCAGGAGGACAGATACACCCGTGACATCGTTGACACTGTCCTCATGGTCAGGACGCTAGAACAGTTGACTCTCACCTGTAAGTGTCACGAGGAGACTGAGGCCCAAGAGCAGCGGTGATTTGCTTGGAGACTCGCAGACAAACATTTCCAAATGTGGTCTATAAAGGACAATTCTGCATTTTAATATCACTGCATAATAGCCCCAAAACTTAGCAGCTCAAGAAAACAAACAAAAAATCTTGCAGCTTCTGTGGGTCACGAAGCCAGGAGCTTCTTAGCCTCTGACTTGAGGTCATTCTAGAAGCTACAGTCAAGATGTGGAGGAGCTATAGCATCTCTGGGCTGCAGCGAGGGAGGGTCTGCTTTCAGGCATGCTGCTGGCCAGGCTCAGGTCCTCCCCGGCTGTGGACAGGAGGCTTCAGTTCCATGCTCTGTTGCCCTCTCATCTAGACAGTTTGCAACATGGTGGCTGCCTTCCCTCCTAGCCAATGAGCACCCAAGACAGAGCCATAGTCTTCTGAAATCTAAGCTTAAAAGTGCCGTGTCATCACTTTGTCCGTATTTCACTTGTTAGAATCGAGGTAATAGGTCCAGCCCACGTTGAAGACGAGTGGATTGAATTCCATAAAGACCTGAATACCAGGAGGCAGGACCATTGGTGACTGTCTTAGGGCCATTGGTGGCCAGTGCACTGGCTGTGAATGAGAGAGACTGAGGCTGGGGTTGAGTATTTCCCTGGGCATGGAAGATGGGAGAGGAGCGAATATGGGGGCCTGGGAAGGGGCAGCTAGTGGGAACTAAGGGGAGAAGAGGAGAGGAAAGATCAATGAAGAAGATAGCAGAGAAGGAATCTGGTAGAGGGAACAGGGAAATGGAGGGGAAGGGAGTCTAATGAAGGACAGAAATTGTGAGAAAACACAAAATAGGAAGGGCTATGGAGAAGAATAGGAAGTGTAAGAAGACATAAAGACCAGGCCGAGAGGAGGAATAGGGGGAGGGTGGAGAGAGCCGGAAGCAGAGAGCAAAGAGCTTAAGCAGATAGTGCAAGAGAACAGAGGGAGGAACTCACTGGTAAGAGGTGAGTTGTGGGGAAAGTCATGAAAACTCTACAGAAGAGATGGAAAAATAGGAGCTATTTTGGGGCTGGGCAGAAGGTAGCAATTGGGGAAAACAATGACAATTAATGCTAAAGATTTATGAACTGCTAAGAATTTTACGTGTTACCTCATTTAGTCTTCATCGCCAGCCAGCCAACACTGTAGATGCTGTTATTTATAGTATTTCAGAGTTGAAAAATGGAATCTTGGAAGGATTAAGTACCTGTTCAAGGCTATACAGCCAGGAGGTGGCTGCAGGTGCATGGAGGCAGGGCAGGCCACCTTCTCTCTGGCAATCAGCCCCAAACTTCATGGTCATCTTGGCTGGGGCAGGAAAGGGTTTTGAGGTGGGGAATTTAGTCCCTTATCCTAACCATACATAGACAGCAGATCTTGTCTCTTCTACCAAACTCTGTAACCCTCAGTCCTAGTGCAGATTTGGAAGGCTGGATTGCATGCTGGTGATAAATAGTAGGCTATTCAGAACACAAGGTCCAAGGCGAATGCTTCAGTTTATTATGAGAACATAATACATACAAAGGATACAGCCCACATATGAGGGATCTTCAAAAGCTCCATGGAAATGCATATTCTGAAAAAGCTATGCGTGGATTTCAAGTTTTTTGCACTAAAATAAAGTCATACTTTAATTCCATTTTTTTGTGCAGACTTTTAAAATCCCCTGTTATTAAAATAAAGTGTTTCTGCTATACCATATAGTTAGTTATTTCTCCATATTTAAGTTGCCAAAAGTCAAGAGGGCACCATGTCTTATTCTTCAAATCCCCCGTAGTGTCTCACACTGTCTTAAGCAGATATTCAAAAAACTTGGTGGAACTAAAAATTTCCTTCTGCTGAATCCAATGAGAAATTCCACTGCCGTGAAGTGGGAAGAGAATGATTCTCCCCCTGCAGGCCTGCCTCTTCACTAGCTGTTTAACTCTGGGTAAATTTCTTAGCCAGGCTGGAATGCAGTGTCCTGGTCTGCAAAATAGGTTGGCTACATGATCTTTAAAGTTTTACTTTGTTTTTAACTGCCAGAGGGTGCATACATGTGGCAGAGAGAGAGACAGAGAGACAGAGAGGCAGAGAGACAGGTAGAGGGAGAGAGAGGAAGCACCCTCGGTGGGGCATGGTCATGCTGCATCCCCTTCTGCTCCATTTCTCTATCCTTTTGGGTTTGGAGCATGCTTTTCAAAGCTGGGCTAGAATTGAAACCACTGTTGGCCATGCAGGATCTGGTGTCCTTAACCACTAAGCTATGGGGCCAACCTGATCTTTAACATTGTTTCTAACTCTGGAACTTCAGAAGTCACATATCAGGGTGAAGTAGGAGTCAAACAGAAATGGTCAACGACTCTGGTGCAGTCGCAGGCTGTCACTTAGGCAGACCTC